AGGCCTGCCCTGCCCGGCCCGCAGCAGCCCCCGACAAAGGGCACGTTCTTCGCTGGCACGGCGGCAGATGCCCGGGATTCCTGGGCTCTGAGCTCAGGCCGGAGCTGGCGTCAGCACCGGGGCATGGGGGGCAAGGCGCAGCGGGGACGGCACAGGTCCTGGCAGCCCGGGCACCTCCTTCCTGCCCTCCCGCTTCCTGCAGTTTCCCTCCCTGGGGCTGTGGGCGCTGCCTGTGCCACCAGAGAGGCTGGAGCAGGGGCTGGCACTGCCCAAGCCCCACCTGAGCCCGTCTCGGGGTCTGCCAGGCCTGCCCTGGCACACGTGTGGTCTCCCAGCCCCTGGGCGGATGCCCCGGAGGCTGCAGCACCATGGCCAGTCGCCCCCTGGGGTGGCCCTAGCTCTGCCCCTGCCCCCCGCAGCCCTGGCACGGCTCCTGGGGCCGCGTCCGCCCATCCAGCCCGGTGCCGGGAGTGTGGCGCCCCTCAGCTTCGTGTGCCGGCTCCCCTGTCCGTGCCCTGTCTGGGCCGCCGTGTTTACAGCTTGGCTCCGCTGCCTGCCCCATCCCCGGCTCCCGTCAGTGGGGGATCAATGCACCGCCCCATCTCCGCTGGCCTGGAGCGGGGCCAGGGGCTCCATTACTGCAGCTGCCCGCGTCTCCGGCGCTGCCCGGGCAGGCTGCGCTGCGGCTCCGTGTCCTTGCCGGGCAGACAAATCCGGGGGATGTGCCCAAGGTCACATGGGGCATCCGTCAATGGCAGAGCGAGGCGCAGCAGCCAGGACTCCCCCGGCTCTGGACAGGCCGTGGCACCACCTCCGTGGCGTGGGGGGTGGGACCTCTGCCCCGCTCATGGCCAGTTGTGATGGGTGGATCTGTGTGGCCGTTGGTGGGGGCGGGGGTGGCAGCTGGGTGGGGGCAGAAGCAGGACCTCTTTGTGGTGCCTGTGGACCCCCGGTCACCCTCAGAGCAGGTCACGGGGGGTGGGGCGACATCAGTGTGGTGGGGGAGGTCACGCCTGCATGTGCACATGCAGCCTGCTGTCCTTGGCGTCGCTGGCAGGGTTATGCTGGGGGAGGTGGGGAAGGGCAGCTGGCTGCACTCAGGGTCTGGCAGTGCCATGGGGCATCCCCTGGGGCAGGGGTGGGGGTGCCTGGAGGGTGCATCTCTGCCCGCTACTGGTGCCCCTGCCTGGCTGCAGCGATCCTGCGCCTCCCAGGCCTGTGGCGGGCATGCAGCCTGCCCCCCTGCCCTCCCCCATGGGTGCCTCCAACCCCTGCCCCTCCTCTGCTGTGTCCCACAGGGTATGCTAGCAAGGTGCAGGTGTCCATGCCCAAGGTGGTGGAGGTGGACCTGGGCCACACGGCCACGCTCCCCTGCAGATTCCCGGACAGCAACATCACCTACGTCCACTGGTTTTACGTGAGCACTGGGCAGGTCACCGGGGGCGCGGGGCACTGGTAGGCTGGGAAGGGGCAGTGATGGGAGCAGGAGGCTCCCTGGGCTGGGGGGGCACGGCCTTGCCCCCTGAGGTCGGGGCCGTGTTGGTCCCCAGCCTGCGGCCACTGGGCAGAGGTGACGGCAGGGCTGTCTCTCGTGGCAGATCACCCACAGCGGCCGCACCAAGGTCTACTCCTGGGTGCAGGGCGAGGTGTTCATGGAGGACCCGCCCTACGCGGGCCGTGTGAGCATGGATGACACCTTCACCCTGACCATCACACAAACCACGCTGCAGGACGCCCGTATCTTTGTGTGCCAGGTCGGGGCGGGCAGCCTGGGCGTGGGCGAGAACCGCACCGAGCTCCGCGTCTACAGTGAGTGGCTCTGGGGCCGGCTGGAGGGAGGAGCGCTCGGGGCGGGGGCAAGCAGGGGGGTTTGGCTTTCCCTTCCCCAGCACTCACCACCGCCGGGCACCGCTCTCTTCCAGAGGCCCCGGAGCCTGCTGAAATCGAGGCGAATGAAGGTGGTATCTCTGTGGGCAGTAGCGAGAGCCAAGAGGTGAGCGGGAGGGGTGGGAGCTGGGCTGGGCCAAAGCCAGGGAGAGAGCTTGGTGGGGATGGGGGCACTGCTGGGGGAAGATCGCAACCTCTGGGGGTGCCAGGGGAGGGGGCTGCCCAGTGCTGTGTTTGCGGCTGCAGATCGCCGAGTGCATCGTCCGCAACAGCTTCCCGGGGCCCAATATCACGTGGCTGAAGGATGGGCATCGCCTGCACCAGGAGGACGACAGTGAGTGCTGGGCACTGGGGGCAGCCCCGGGGAACATGGGGGGCGGGGGCTGGGCAGCACCGGCACCGAGTGCTCAGGGGCACCGTGCCTGGCATCGGCAGTGGGGGCCAGGTCCAGCGAGGAGTGGGATGTGCAGACCATGCTGAGCACTGCAGTGAGGAAGTTTGCAGCCATCCTGCCTGGGGGTCTGTGCTCTGAGCTGGGGCTTGGGGAGGTCGGGCACTGGGGTCTCCGGGGCTGTAGCAGGCAGCTGCCCCATGCTCACCCTGCCCCACTACCCCCATCCCAACAGAAGTGAAAATCATGGACACGCGGACGCAGGAGGCCAGCGGGCTCTTCACCGCCAGAAGCCGGCTCTTTGCCTTCGTCACCCGCCAGGACCGCCATGCCTACTTCCAGTGCCAGGCCCACTACCTCCTCTCAGGGGGTGAACACCAGGCCCAGTCGCCCAAGGTCCAAGTCCACATCTTTTGTGAGTTGGGGACTGTCTGGGGCGGGCGCGGCGCGGGGCACAGGGCAGGGAGGGAGCTGGGCAGGGTACAGCAGGCAGCAGTGGTGGAGCTGCGTGGCAGTGCTACGCCCCAGCTCTGGGCAGCTGTCTGCGACCCCCCCCCGGCTCTACTAGGGGCCCCTCCTATCTCCTGTGCCCCCCAGACCCCACGGAGAACGTGAGCCTGGCCATCAGCGCCCCGCGCCCGCAGGTGAAGGAGGGCGACCACGTCGCGCTGCGCTGCCAGGGTGACGGGAACCCCCCACCCGAATACACCTTCTTCCGAGTGCAGGTGGGTGCAGGCGGGTAGGGATTCGGCGGGGTTGGATGGGGCTGGGTGCCTGCGGGCTGGGGGGGCTCTGGCCTGCCTGACCAGGCCGTGGCTTCTGCCGTGCCCCAGAACAACACCGCGACGGGGGAGGAGGAGGAGCAGGAGCTGCCGGGCAAGGCAGACAAAGGTGTGCTGAGCCTGGGCAAGGTGCACAAGGAGGACACTGGCCGCTACCGCTGCAAGGGCCTGGACCTGGACACCATGGAGACCTTGACAGCCGACGCCGAGCTCGTCGTGAACTGTAAGGAGGGCACTGACCCGGCTCCCTCGAGCCAGGACCCAGCTGGGGGTGATGGCTGAGGACAGCCCCTCCAGGACACCGCCCAGAGTCCAGGGCCTGACAACCCGTACTCTCCCCACAGATATCGAGGGGCTGAAGGTGATGAAGGAGGCGTCTGAGCCAGTGTCGGAGGGGGACAACCTCACCCTGACCTGCGAGGCGCGAGGCTCCCGGCCTCTGGCCTTCCACTGGCACAAGGACAAGGCGAGGCCCCTTCCTGCGCCCTCCCCGTGGCTGGGGGCTGCCCCTGCGGGGCGGGGGTAGGGCACTGCAGCCCCCGCCCCATGTTAGCCTGCCCCTGTCTCCTTCTGCAGAAGGGGAAAGCGCTGGGCTCCAGGCAGCAGCTGCAGCTCAGCAACATCACGCGGGAGGCTGCGGGCAACTACATCTGCGAGGTCACCATGCCCGGCGTGCAGGGGCTGTCCCGCAACAAGCAGGTGCTCGTCGTGGTTCACGGTAAGGGCCCGACTCGCTCTAGGCTCTGCCAGGCACGGAGCCAGGCTGCTCGTGCTGCCCTGCCGGGCCGGGACGAAGAAAAGCAGAGGGATGGATGCCGCGGCATCGGTACTCCCTTCTTGGTGACGGCCGCAGGCAGAGGACCGGTGCCCGATGCCACCTGACCCGCTCCATCCGCCCGCAGGAAAGCCGCAGGTGAGCATGGAGGAGCCAGGGGTGCCCGTGCAGGAGAACGAGCTGGTGACCCTGACATGCACAGCCTTGGCGCAACCCGAGCCCTCCATCACCTGGAGCGCCAACGGGACGGTGAGGCCTGGCACGGGGACGGGGACCTCTCCCATGCTGGGGCCTGTCCGTGCTGGGGACGTGGCCCAGCTGGGGCCATGCGCATGCCCTTCACTCTCGCTGTCCCCCCTTGCAGGTGCAAAACCGCACAGAGAACTACAGCGTGGTCAGCAACCTGACGGTGCAGGTCACCAGCAAACTGCTGCACTCGGGCGTCACCTGCACGGCCACCAACTACCTGGGCATGGCCACGCGCCACATCCAGCTGGAGCGCAGTGAGTGGACCAATGTGGGCCTTGGGGATCCCCCCACCCCGCTCTCACTGTTTCTTCAAAGCAAAGGCAGTGACTTTCTCCATCGGGTTTATGTCAAAGTAGCCAGACCCGCTCAGCGAGAGGCAGGAGCCCGTGGCTGCAGCAGAGCTGGTCCTGCTCTTGGGAGCACTGGGATCCCCTACCAAAAGCTCCTGTCCTTCCTCCAGCCCTGCCGGCTGTGGGGATTAGTTACCCAGCTGCTGCATGCAGTGGCCTCAGGACCCCGCAAAGGCCAAGGGCCAGCAGCCCCGGCCCCCGCACACCAACCGGCTCGGCTGCCCATGCTGGGCACGCTGCCGTCTGCTCAGAAACAGCCTCAGCACCGAGTCTCGCTGGATCCTCCACAAGGACTCGGCTGTGGGGCCCTTGGGCTGCACCCACGTCCCACTTCCTTGGTAGAAGGACGCGCCGCGGTCCTGGGACCGTGCTTGCAAGCGCGGCTATTTGCATCCCCCCTCACCCTGGGGAGGGTATTTTGTTCAACCCCCATGGCCGCACTCTGCAGCGTTTTCTCCAGGCCACAGTCTCTTGGCACCCATGTGCCACCTCTCTGAGCTTGCGTCTTGTCTCGTTACAGGGATGACACCAACGATGCCGACAACGACGTCGCCTGCAGGCAATGCGACCGGTAAGTGCTGCCACCGCCGTCGTGGCCCCAAGGCAGTCGCACGGAGACCAGCGCCCCTCCCCGGAGGGAGGCGAGGGGAGGAAGGGGGTGCCCCTACAGTGGTCCCCGGGGGGGCAGGGAGGGAACAGCATGGCAGCTGCCACGGGCTCAGCTCTTTCCTGGGCTCAGCTCGCTCTCTCCATCCTTTAACGCTGGCCCAGTGGAGACCATCAAGAAAGGTCAGTGACTGGATGCACCGCTGGCTCCTGCTGCTTCCCTGCAAGCCCCTTTCCCTCCCCTGCTCTCCACTGTGGGGCCCAGTCCTCCCCTCTGCCTGGGGCAGGGTCT